ATGTAGTACATTTATAAGTATATTGATATAGAAATACATATTAAACATCTATGACAGGAGTACAAATGCTCGTACTCAGCACACAAACATCTGCCCCCACCAGGATTCGAACCCGGGACCTCTCGAGCCAGCGACACCATGAAACCCGGCGTACAAACCACTCGACTCGGATATATTAATTGACGACCTCCGTGGTCGTCAATTAATATATCCGTTCTATATACTCGTCCTTGTATCTTTAAATATTATGTTCGTTATAGTTACTTTTACCTATGGAATTGTACCTATTTAACTTAAAATAACTAAAGACTCCCGGGATGGAACTTGATGCGCTTTGGCACAAATGATCATGACTATGATACCTTTCAAACAAATGTAGTTTAAGCCGTGGCGGACGTGGGTGCAGTGTCCATGCAATTTTGCCCATTGTCCTTTAGTAAATTAAACAACACAATAGAAAGATTACGTTTTATTATAAAAGTAACGTCATTAATGCTATAGAATTTACAAAAAAATATAAAAAAAAACAATACCCTATGCGTCGAGCACAGTAGTGATGCCGCGTACAAGTTGTAACTTGTTCAATCGTGAATTAGCGAATACATGTATGTAATAGACGATGTCGGATTATAGGGGGTGCCGCATTAGCCACAGGCCGGATTACCAGGGCTCCACTGTATTAAAAATTTGAAAGAACATTAGTAGGTACCTATATTGTTATTTAAAGCATTAAAACTGCTAGATTTATAAAACTAAGGGAATATTTACTAGAAAATATTCCACTCGGATAGAGAATCCTGTCTAGTCTGGATGGTTTATTTTTTATTACAATAAAATTTTCTTTAGATTTTTAAATCTAGCAGTTTAATGTTTAAAATAACGGTAGATGTAATAAAATATTATTAGTTTTCTTATTACAAGTAAGGTAATTAAGAAACATTTTGATGGATTTAGATCAAGGTAACTGACATTATGACTCAAACTCGAGCTTCATAACAGGAACATTAAGCGATTCCGAGTAGCGCATGCTGCTTGTTATTAGTTATATAAAAATAAAGAGAAGTTGACTAAAAGAATGATTCTTTACCCAGCTGGAAATATAATTATAAACACCAACAGCCTGCATCCTGCGCCCTGTGTATAAAAGAATCGAATCATCATCTCAATGAAATTATATAAGAGGACTCCTGCTTTTTACCTTAAACAAGAGTCTCCTTATTAATAAACGAAGAATAAGCTGGGATTAGTTAATCCATGTTTTGTCTCTGTTCGTTGAATGACAAATGCCATAGAGTGATAGGAACAAAACACGGTGTCACTAGTCTAGCAGTGGCGGCGCTAGGCTAGGCTAGGAAAATTTCGACGCGGCTAATAGGGCCGTGGTAGCATAATGGCCAGTGCATTCGCCCGGATAGCGAAGGATGCGTGTTCGAGTCCCGTCCGCTGCCTGGTCCGCGTGGATTTTTATTCTAGTAAACTTTTTTTTAGATTTAAACAATGATAGATGCTATAATAATCGATACCGAATGTCCATTTAAAGCGCTCAATGAATATTTTGATCAATTTGGTTTTCTTTATGACATCAATTATTTGAAATCTATACCAAAAGAGGATCTTCTGAAACATTGTAATGATTTAGGTAGGCGCCTTCGGGAAGGCGAAAACAGTAACATGCAGCCTTTCGAATTATATGAAGAACTTCAGCTTTTAAAATCTAATTCACTAGACTCTATCAACGACGCGAAACAACTCATCCATCACATTTTAGAAAATAATTTAGAAGAAGTACCTATATCCAAATGTTTACATTACAATTAGAATCATGCTCACAATTCCGGTCATTACAGGTTCCGCTGAGAGAAGCTTCTCAAAGTTAAAATTGATAAAGACCTATTTGAGAAGCATGATGAGCCAAAACAGACTATCCGCGTAGGGACACGAAAAAAGTATCGATACTTTGTGGTATCGAGTACTTTTCCTTTCGATACTGATACTTTTGTACTCGATACTTTGTATTCGATACTTTTACTAAATGAGTACATTTAGGCAAGTATCGATACCTTTAAAAATTTGGATAAATGCCTCATATTGATGGCAAAGCCTTATAGTTGAATCAAAGTAAGCCTTCTAAAACATTCCATTGCGTTGATATAATTGAAAACACAAGCAATCTAGTGTGTCCTGAGACGAATAGATAGCGCCATAGAATTAGGACAGTAAGTAACTGACACATTCAAATTCTTTCCAATCTGTGACTGTGTTTATTTTGCATTTTGTTGTTTCAAATTTATTTATTTAGCGACCACTATAATACTATGATTGATTGTTTATTGTGCTTTTCGCTTGACTGTATTTGATTTATTTAATTGTAACACTATTATTCTGTCTGTGCTGGTGTATACCTATTTGAAACATAATTATTAGAGAAATGCCGCGTAGTAAGACTGAACTAATGCAATATTTGTAAGAAAAATCTTAACAGTATTTGAATACTAGCTTCTGCTCGCGACTTATTTAAGTTATAGCCTATATGTTATTCTGATGTATGAGCTATATTATAGTTAAGTTTCATTAAAATCCATTTAGTAGTATAAGCGTGTAGTAGGTAGTAACAAACATCTACATATGGATATATCCATACAAACTTTCGAGTTTATAAGATTAATAATGGTCGCCTGCTGCTTCGGTCACGTTAAATTTGGTTATAATTTGCTCATCAAGCCACAGAGGAGCCGATCAGGCCCTATGAAATGTACTCGATACTTCGAAGTATCGATACTTTTGTTTCAATACTTTTACGAGTACGATACTTTTTTTCCGATACTACTCATGAGTACAGTATCGATACTTTCTATTCGATATCGTGTCCCTATATCCGCGTTGTCAGTTCTGTCAATCGAAGCTGAAATAGCGGCTAGTCTTAGCTACGACACAATCCTGAAAAAATTCAGTGAGGCTAAAGCTGAAAAGTTCGACTATTTTAATTTCTATGTGTGTAATTATTTTTTGTCATCATTTGATTATCAACAATAAAACTCGTTTACTCATACGTTATTTTATAATTTGGCTCACTTAATTTAACGGTTTTTTACTGCGAAGTAAAACTCGCGAACTTGATGTCGCCGACGTCCACGTATGGTCTAGCGCCGCCACTGAGTCTAAGCTTTTTCTAATAAGGGGGGAGGGGTCTGCATTTTTACTCTGCAAGTGGTCTATTAAAAATAATTGAAATAAAATAACAAAGTTGTGGTTCCGATTCTGACTGAATCCGTGCGTGCTATGCCTCAGACAAACTATCATCTTGCGTTTTTTTGCCGCAGTGCGTGCGACTCTATGACATTTTCATACTCTCTTGAAGTAAGTTATTTCATAACTGAGGATGGACTTATTATAATTCCAAGACTCTGCTTCACAACCCTGCAGCAATTCTGTCCACAGTTTTTCTTCCAGCTGTGACAGAGGTTGTTAAACGATCGATACTGCTCAAGACTTCTGCAGTTTTTGATGTATTTAAATGTGTTCTATGTGGAGTTTGTTTTAGAGTACCTAACTGGTTGTCACACTAATATTATAAAGGCGAAAGTTTGTGAGTGTGTATGTTTGTTACTTCTTAACGTCTAAACGGCTGGAACGATTTTAATAAAATTTGGTATGGAGTTAGCTGACACCCTGGATTAACACATAGGCTACGTTTTACTGCGGGAATATATACCTTATAAACCACGGGTAACAGCGCGGGGCACAGCTAGTTATTAAATAATCCTAATGAGCAAAATTGTGGTTTATCAATTCTCATAGCTTTAGAAGATTTTATGAAAAATCCACCTTTCCCTTGGTGACTCTATATCTTAAGAATGACTTAACCGATGTCATCCGTTTTTTTAAGTTCTCCATTAGGTTCTTTTGGAAAAACCCAAATGTAGTGTCGTTGAAGTATTATTGCTACAATCTGCGGTGTGTAAGATCTTTCTTACTATTTTTCCGTGTGCTATTAATAGACATAAGTACACAAGTACCTAATGACGCAACTAAGCACATACATTACCTGTTGTGTGTGTTTATTTGCGATTGTTTTTCCTTTAATTTAACTATTTCGGCTATCTAATATGCCATCGATGTTACCAAAGAGCAGAACCCTTATTACCAAGTACTAATGAACCTGTGCCACAACATCCTGAGAGGATCATACTGCCAAATTATTCAAGAACACCTGATACACATTCACGCTGCATATTTTCACAATATTCGTGTGATATACAAATAAATACAATAAACAATATGATACAAATTTTCCTAATAGTTATTCTTTAAAATAGAAAATGAATTAGTTGTAATATTAATTCACTTCAAACTGAGTTCATACTAAATTCATAGGTTGACCTATGTTTCATTGAATATTAAACATAACCTCAAAAAAAAATTGTTTTCCTAATAATTGAAGTTCTCAGAAGTGTCCGTCAATAATCTTTGTTTTTACAGTCATTGACTTACAATTTTGAACTTTAAAAATAATATTTCATGATTGTTGGTTCTTAGGCTAACTATATGTATGGACGCTGAACAATGTCCTTTAAATTACCAATACTCTCACAAAGTGGGTTGTTGTAGTATTTTTTGTTTCTATAATATTACTATTATAAAACTATGTAATGCAACTGACAAAATAAAACCTCTACCTATTTGCTCTGCTGCGTGCATACTCGATTGAAATATTTCTTTTAAATGCTGGATATGCAGGATAGGGCATAGATGCTTTTAATATGTACAAAATTTGGAAATTTGTAACGGCAAGACATTATTATTAGATGTGTAAAACATTCCAAACATTTACCACTATCTGTTGTTTGGATATAAATTGCAAACAAGTAGTTAATAAGAATATGTTAATTAACTGAAGATTGTATGACATTGTCGATCAACAACACATGCTTTTAATTATTAAAATCAAGGCTTTTTATACCAAAAAACATTTATTTCGACACAAAAGTTACTTAATTAATATGCGTACTTATACTATTTTATTCGTATACAATATCTATAATACTATGCAATTCTGGCGGGTACTTCGAAGCAGGTGATTTCCGCATCGTCTGCTTTGAGCGCCCAATGCACTTTCACTGAGATGGAGGGGTAAAACGCCAGAATTGGGAACGAGTCCTTGTATACGTATTTAGTACCTGCCTGCAGAGGGCACGATGCCTTTTCACCGTTTTCCAAGAAAACTTTATTGCAAATTGAGTTCCCATCTACACCCACAAACGGCAGCGGCAATCCGAACGTAATGGCACTCACGTGATTTACAACATCCTTCACCTCTGTGCCTGTAAAAAAATAACAAACGTTAACTTTACTTTCGGTATCTTTGGCTAGGTAAGTACCTAAATGTTATTCGTGAATTTCACTAAGGTAAATTTAACATCATCATTATTCTCATAAATTATATAAGTCAGCGTCGGCATTGATTTGTGCAGTTAAATACGTATTGCAAGCATCGTAATCTTTACATAAGTAATTAGAGTAAAAATTAAAATATTAAAAAGTATGGATATAAGTGTTACATAATAAAGTACTTAAAGAAAGATAGGTGTTCTCTGGAAAAGTATCTACGTCATATTTGAAGTACCTAGTTATGTCAGGCGTATTTACCCTCAAGAGGGCTATGCGAGGGGGCGAAAAAAGCCTTATACAAAAGCATTCGTTACTGATCTACATGAAAGTAAACCACCCAATTTACAATTGTTGTAACATTTGAGAAGTCTGCATATGGAACATCTTGGATCATTTCCATGGGAGGCTGCAGCATGGTGAATCTGATTTAAGGTGTAACTGTAATCCATAGTTTCTTTCGGAAGCCGTCGCGTCGTCAGTTCTCTCGGCGTATTTCATTTCAGGAAAGACTACAGTGAGCGATATTTGTGAATATTCTCCATTTGTAACGCATTTCAAAAAATAAAAGAAATCAATTACACTCAGCTTCCTTACCGAGTTACAATAATGTCTCGTTTATAGTGAACAACTTATCAGACTTGAATCACTGTACAAGTAAATAGTTCATGTAAATAAAATAAATTGAGGCCTAAGCATTTTTTGAAGAAGAAACCTACGCCTATTCGTATAAGTACACTAAAATATTGATATATTCGCATTTAATTAAGTGCATCTTCTTCAAGTATTTTATGAGCTACATTTATAACCTGGTACATATTAATTATAACCTACAATATTTTCCCTATAACTTGGGTAGCAGTTGAGCACCTGGCTACACGATTTATGATATTTTATAGCATCATTGCAAATTGACATACACACACTACATTAATGAGTTGCCGCATTTACGGAGCTGTTGTTTTTTGACAGCGCGGTATCTAGTCGAGTGAAGCAAGACCAATCATTCATCTATGTTGGTTTTCTATGGTTTTTATTTTAAAACAATTAGCTGTATAAAAACTGTGTAATTACTTTAGTACAGCTAAAACATGTATAAGTTTAATGAATTCTATAGTCCCTATTCAGCATTCTATTATCACGAAACTCTTATAACACCGTAATTCAACTTATTGCTGTAAGTTTGTTTCATTATTATCCTTGGTTATAACGTCTACGTGCTGCTTGGGGCCCTGAATGTAATAGGGATTATGACTAACTTTTTGTTCTTCGTCTATCAAGTAGATTATCAAAAAGTGCTGGTTACGTCTTTTTATTTATTTACATAATCAAAATATTACAGAAATATATCGATTGGAAATGTCGCATGACGTCACGTCTTGGTACGTTTTTTACTTAGAAGGACTTAAATTTAACGCGCTCTATCTTTGTCATTTATTGGTTGATTGACAAAAGAAAAATTAGTGTTATATTTTGATAATCTAACTGATAGGCTAAGAAGAATTTAGTTTAATTAACCTCGTCATCATCCCCATTACTCAGGATTTGAAAATATAGCCTCCAACTAAACTCATTTGCTATTAAAAGCATACCTATTTATAACATACTTACTAGGTGTGAAGGTTATGGAGATATGTTCGTCGGTGCCCTTCTTAAGTCGGCACGGTGGCTTCTTGCAAGGCGTCACCTCCACATTTTCACTTAAATTTTCAAAACTTCTTCCTGTATTGGCAAAAAAAATAAAATTTAGGTTTAAATCATCCAGAATAACCCCAGATAAGGAATGATGTCGCTGAAAATTATCAGAAATCGCATATTTTAACACACTTAAAAAATATAAGTATGTTCTCTGTTTTGACCTGCATGTATGTTTGTCAGCGAATATGTCAAGAAGTTCTGATCCGAATTGGGTGGGGTTTTCGGTATATAAATGCGTATTAATCAGAGAAGGTTTTAATGTATAATATACTAGCAGTGACCCACGGTTTCAACCGCGTAGATTGATTGGAAGCTAAGATAGTGCGCGTAAGCGTATTCCCCACTGCTGGGACACAGGCCTTCCCTATGGCTAGAATAGGGAGATTGGGCCATGATGACCCACCACGCGGGTCCAGTGCGGATTGGTGGATGCAAACGACTGCAGATCCAGGCGGGATCAACGGATTAACGTACCTTCCGAAGATTGGAGGAGCTCCAGATAGTAATATTTTGGTCAACCATCCAATGATCAACCATTGCGAAAGTTGCTTCACTTTAACGATCGCAGCCGAACATGCTAACCACTGCATCGAGCTCCTCCTCATCAAAAATTTCGATTGTATTGTTATTCTTATGCTTAAAAACAGCGAAAGAACAATCTCGATATTGAGAGGCAAGTTGGCACGCCACCGCCTGTTTTAACTGTACACTGGTGTCGATTCTGGCATGATTCTCTAAACCTAAACGTAAATTTGACAACAGTGTATCCTTGTCATTCTCCATACAGAATGAAAAGGAGAGACTGATGTTAAATTTAGTTTTAAGTTTAGAGAATCGTGTCAGAATCGATACCACTGTACGTATAAAAGACAAATTTCATAATTTATTTTCCCTAACGCACATAAAACGTAAAACCCGCATAATAGACGAAGAATGAGCTTGAATTAGCAACTCAATGTTTTGTCTGTGTCTAACGAATGACAAATGGCATTTGAGTGATATGAACAAAACACAGCGTAACTGGTGTAAGCTTATTTCTTGTTTATTATAAGGGGGCTAACCCCCTTATGAGGTCTAATAACCTAGACTCTAAAGCCATCATCATCACTCAACGACTCATAACTTTAAAAGTATTTATTAAATTAAGAAAAGTTGTATGCAACAGTTGTAGGGAATTTAATGACCAATAACTTTTATAAGACGATTTTTATGGCATCATCAATTAATGGCATTTTTAAGGTTTTATAAAGGAAAAATTACAAACATGTTCAAATAAACAGTAATTTTATTGAAAAACGGTAAGAGTTATAATAAAAAGTTTTACACAAGAAAGTTAGGGAATTTAGTAATAAAAAAACAAGCACTCTACACTTTTTCCCTAAAGTCAATAATTTCGGAGATATAGCGATAAACGCGTTTTCCATTATGGTGGCCGAAATATTGCTGACTTGTGACCAGCCTGCATTCCCTGATTTTTAAACTTAAGCTTCTTACGACCTAGTCTAACATCTGTAAAAAAACTAGTGTGGTTAAATTCTGTTATTTGGTTTTCTGTATTGCTTGGGCTAAATAGGTATAGAAGTTGCTCCCATATGAATTTGGAAAAAATATCCAACCCTAAGAGTATGAAAACAGGGGATGATTGATTGTTCACTCACTGATTGCAATGTAGGACCACACATAACTTTTACATGGTTGTGTCTGATTGTGATATTTTTTTTGGAAAAGATGATACATCGATGTAGGTTTAGCAGAAATTTGGAAAAATATCTACCCTAAAGGCCCACCTTTAGGGTAGATATTTTTCCAAATTTCAACAACAATCACCCCTATTATCCCAATAATAGGGGTGATTGTTCATTCAAAGATTATGATGCCGAGTTGTATATAACAAAAATTATAGCCGCAAAAATTATAAAATAAAATGTTTCTAACAAAAAAATTAAATCGCCGAAAAGGAAAAATAATAAACCATTTTTATCATTAGTTAAATTAATATTTGGAGTCGGTGCCATGCAGGTCTGATAGATCTAAGTTCCCAGTTACTACTTAGGTTGGCCTGGCACTGGCATCGAGTCCACTCCAAATATTGACTGAAGATAAAAAAGGTTTATTACTTTTAACTTTTTTCGTTCTTTCGTTTAAAGACTTGCTTTTGCTCGTGTCTTTGTATTGTGTTCAAAATTAAATACATATAACATGTCCTTAATAAATTACACATAAGGTACTAAAAATATTGTACAAAAACCCTTAAAGTCGCTTTGTAAAGTATACTATACATTCAAAATAAAAAACTGCTAACGGAAAATTACAATACTTAGTGATTTCTTTTTTAATCGAAAGCAGTTCCTGAACTGTCCTCTAAAAAATAAAATAAAGAGCAACATAGTCTGTTAATATTTTGGCAGTTCGGTGTCATCTTTGCCACCATGCGGCACAATTTTAAAATCGTCTTGGTTAGAATATTTTTTTATATTTATTTACATTGATATTCACTGATATGTTTTATAAATCTAAAATATGAATGTATAGCATTTACTCACACTAACATACTTCAAAAATTCATTCATCTTCATATGTTTTACTTTGTTTTGAGTTTATAGTATAATACACATTGCGACCAATCGCCTATAACAATGTTTAGTTCTTGATGTATGGTATTCTATACACTTAACCCCTGCTTATGGTGTATTTTTTTTTACTGTAAATGGTTAAATTACTAATAATAGTCTGTATTCATATTATTTTATCAGTTTTTGTTTATTGCTAGTTATGTTTGATTTTAGCATATCATAATTATTCTTTTTGAATCCATACCTATATCTTTTTGTTTCGCTGGCTATGGGTGTTTAGTTTTTACGCATACATGTTACCAATTTTGTTCTAGTTTGGGCAACGCTATAGGTAAAGGCGCACTTGTGCCTAAGATCCATACTGATTCCGAAACAGGCATTGATCAAGCTATGACAATGAAGTAAATAATTAGGTTTCAGAATTCTCTTCCACCGTCTATACATTAATCCTTAGAAAACTCAAAATATTACCCAGCCCAGTTCCATCTGATAATTTTCATGAAGACTATATTAAGAACTCTCCTTCGCATTTTTTACTTTAAAGAAGCGACAGTAACCCACAATCTCCAAGCCCTATTCCCACCGCTCCAGAATCCGAAATACATACTACACTCACACCAATTTTACAAATAGTATTTTCATCTAACATGCAATGCAATTATAATGCTTTTTTATCTTCAATTTCATCCTTACCTTGTTTAGAAACCATTTTTATTTCAAAATTTGCTATGGTATGATATATTGATATGATATGCTAAAGATATTATAATCTTATATAGCTACGTAACATAAGTGAATATTACATTTTCTGCAATGAGTAGGTACCTACTATTGCATGCAATATTTGCATCTTTGGGTATTAGTGTGCTCTGGTCAAGGATCAAAGCAACAGTAACGGATGGCATTGAGGGGGTCTTTCAGCTGCTGGTTTTTTTACCAACACATGTCGCTATCTGCCTATTTCTTTTGATCGTCCTCCTCCTCCAGCACGTCCTCATATCTGAAACCTCATATAATTACCTAACTTATATTTGAATTGCTTGAGACATCTTCTTCTTGCGGGATAGCAAAAGGTCAAGCTAGCACTCGTTGCGCAAAATATAATGTTCACAAATGTCACGTATCTATGAGGAATTGTTTTTAGCATACCAACAATAAAACTTTTTTTTTAATAAAAATGGTTTCTATGCTCTTTTTTTTATATTGTTTTATACATACCTATATTACATTAGTGCTTCCACCAACGATATAAAACGTACATATTAAAATATAACATAAATTCATATTTATTTTATTTATATTTGTCAATAAATGCAAGTCCAAGTGCGATTTTTTTATATTATACAATACATCGTTAACTTTATACTTTTGTTAGTGTTGGTGGCAATGTATTGTATAATATACATAAAATATTTCCAAATCTTAAAAAGGAAGTTTTTTTTTTATTTTTCGTAGTCTTTATGGTGGTACTATAATCGAACTAAATTATTATTTTTGTTTCCCGAACATTGCATATCTTGCAACCTTAAGGGTTAAGTAGCAACGAATTAAATATGATACTTAGTAGGTATAAAACATAATGTACTTATTTGTTAATAATAATTAAACTAAAGTAAACTTGTCTTGTATACAATGATAATGGATACCCATTAATTATACAATTAAAAATAAATCTACAATATCAGTGAGATGTGATTTAGTGAGCTATTATAAATTGAAAATGACAAAGAATGGCACATAAAATTATTATTATTCCAAACATGTTTCCTTGATGATAATAACACTACTAGTCCCAGTGTGGAATATGACTATCATTTTAGTGGTCTAGTGAAGTCATACCTAAAGATAACATCAAAAAGTGCCTGTAAAGGCACTATGTTGAATAAACTGTTTATGACTTGATTCGAATACCGATGATCACTTATAGCGCCTAATAATCAAACACGGAACCTAATCAGGTACGTAAAGTACGTGCTCAGAAAATTAAGATTTTCAACAAGTATCGATGACGGTGGTTATACTTATACCACACATGAGCTTTTTTTTACAAGGACAGCAAAATTTCGTTTATGAATATACGAGTACAAGAGACAAGGTGTTCTTAATACATATACCTACTTGAGATACGAGGAAAAATGGCAACGAGGAACTGGCCATTATTATACCCATAAACTTGGGTTTCATAAAGGTGTGTACGTGCTATCAACATGCATGTTCATAATATCAATAAGAGTCAGACCTCTTCACTTTACAAAAAAAAGTTTTTTTTTACTGACGGTATCGGTTTGTTCTTAAGTACTTGGTAATGTAATTCTCGTATTTAATACTTAAACCAGAGAAAAAAAGCAGTTCATGAAAACTACAGAACTTCTGAAATAATTGTGTAATCGAGTTGTTACTTACATTATTATTACTCGTTCCATTATTATAAAGTCGAATGCGTTTTTTTTT